AGGACAGGACGGACGGTTGGGCCACGTCGCAGTCTCGCAGGTGGGCGTGCCGGGTGCTGCGAGACAGGGTGCGGCGTGCAGGTGGCCCAAGGCTCACACCGCCGAGGTGGAGCTGCGAGTGTCGCGTCAGGGTCATGATCAGTAGCGAGACTGCAGCACAAATGGACAAAGTAGACCTACTTCTTCGGGGACTCGGACACGGCTCTAGTAAATGAGGTGATCTATGAAAGTGCCTCAGCCATGCCTCGCCCTGGAGTCAGCAGGTTATTACTACTGATGGAGTTGCACGACCGTTGCAACAGTTATTGATAGCTTTCATCTCAAGTGTTTCTCAATCTTCTAAAGCATAAGTTGTCGGCCGTGCGCGTGGGCTTCCGCCTGTAATCCAGCATCACTCATGGAAGGCCCAGGCGGCGGATTGCTCAGTCAGGAGTTCAAAACCAGCCTGAGCAAGTGAGACCCCGTCTCTACTATAAATGGAAAGAAATTAATTGGCCAACTAATATATAGTAAAAAAATGAGCCGCCATGGTGGCGCATGCCTGTAGTCCCAGCTACTCGGAGGCTGAGGCAGAGGATGCTTGAGCCAGGAGTTTGAGGTTGCTGTGAGCTAGGCTTGACGCCACGGCAACTCACTCTAGCCTGGGCAACAAAGTGAGACTCTGTCTCAAAAAAAAAAAAAAAAAAAGACAACTAACTTGAGCCTGAGATTTGAGGTTGCTGTGAGCTGTGATCGACACACTCTAGGCACTGGGCAAACAGAGCAAGACCCTGTCCTCAAAAAAAAGCCTAAATTTTATGTTATGTATATTTACACAATTAAAAATAAGTACATTGAACAAAGACTAAAAAAACAATTAAACGTGCTTTTCCTTTTCTAAAACCTAATTCATGTCAAGTAGGACTTTCGTTAGAGTCTGAATAGCTAGATAGTGGAAATGAGACCAATCATTCATCTCATGTCATGTCATTTGTCAACGAACCAACATATTCCTTCGCACACAGGCCATGAATGCTAAGAAGTACAAGGATCAACGCAATAGAGACAGCAGGACAGACCTGGATGCTGACCCTTCCTTCTCCTCAAATATGGACTAATAGTAGAGAGGACTCGTATTTCAAGGGAACCCATAAGCTGTCCCAGGAAATCAACTGATAGCCCCAGACCAGCGTCCTCCAAACTAGGCGCGCTGTCGGCCGCACATGTGGGTGTTTTCACGCCATTTGTTTTTTACTTCAAAAATAAGATATGCCAGCTGTGCATAGAATTTGTTCATAGTTTTTTTAAACCATAGTTCCTGCCTCCCATGGTCTGGGGGACAGTGAACTGGAACCCTGTTTAAAAGTTAGAGGACGCGGCCGCGCGTGGCTCCGCCTGTAATCTCAGCACTCAGGGAGGCCAAGGTGGCAGATGCTCTGAGGTCAGGAGCTCGAACCAGCCTGAGCAAGAGCGAGACCCGTCTCTACTACTAAACAATAGAAAGAAATATAATTGGCCAACCTAATATATATTAGAAAAAATTAGCCGCTGGGTTGGTGAGCATGCCTGTCATGCGCCAGCTACTCGGGAGGGCTGAGCAGAGGATCGGCTGAGCCCAGACTTGAGGCTGCTGTGAGCTAGGCTGACGCCACCACCACTCTAGCTGGCAACAAAGCGAGATCTGTCTCAAAAAAAACAACACTCACGCCTGCTATCCTAGCTCTTGGGAGCCGACGGCGGGCTGATTGCATCAAGTCAGCGAG